TGTTGAACCCTTGTACTAGTATATGAGAACAAGTGATTGATTAAAATAAACAAGCATACAGTAATATATAGAAAGTAGGAAAGTAAAGCAGTTGTAGAATACAGTTAAAGGATCGGTTTCTCGAGTCGCACAGCGACTCGATTGACGGTTCTGTTACCATCCTTGCAGTTGTAACGGTCAGTCGTGTCCATTCGTGTTCTTTGTCCGCCCCTTCGTGTCCATTCGTGTTCTTTGTCCGCCCCTTCGTGTAACCTTCGTTGACTCACGAACTCGTTATGACTTTTCCTCAAGTGTAGTGTTTACAATTCAGAAACGCTTAAGTCTTTGAGATATTTCCAACATAAGTTATATAATATATTGAGTTATATAATTGATAGGCTTGGTAGGTTACAGAACATTACTGTAGAGGGTACAATCCCCTCCTTGTATGCCTTTCTCTTTCTATTCCAACCTCCTTTTCTCTTCTCAATTTTTCTCCTTCCTAAACCTCACGCCACTCCATGGCTCCTCCTAGCTAAACCTCATGCCTTTCTTAGCTTCCTAGCTAAGCTAGCCTTTTAACATGGTATCAGAGCAGGAGTTCCTCCCTGCTGGACCGCCTCCTCACGCTTCCGCCGCGTACTCCTTGCCCTCGTTCGCTCGCACGGCCATGGCGGCCGCGTTGTGCTGCAGTGGCGGCGTCGTGCTGCTGCCGTCTCGACGCGCTGCCGTGGCGTCAGGCCGCCGTGCTGCCATCGTAGCGTCGACGTTCCGCAGCAGCGTCGACGCCGCTCTGTGACGGCGGCGTCGGGCTGCAACCGGCCGCGCGACGCCTGTGGCGCCACTAAAATGCCCACCAGCATGCCAGCCGGCCGTGCGATGCCTATGGCGCCGTGCTGCAGATCCGAAGCCCTGCCCCTTCCCCCTTTCCTCTGTCCCCTCCTCTTCGCCACAGTCGCCGCCTGACTCTCACCGGTCGTCCCCTTGACGCGGAGTTTGGACACGCCGCCGGAAGGGCGGGGGCCGCTGCACTCACCGCTGTCGTAAGCCGAAGCCGTCGCCGTCGCCGCTGCCGTCGCCGCTGGCCTTTTGCCGCCGCACGCCCGTCGTCGCCGTCGCTGTCGCCGCGGCCGGGACTGCTGCCGTCACCATCTCCAAGGCCTTGTGGGCCCTGTTGGAGTCATTGTGGCTGATGGGAATGGGGGTGCTAGGTTAGGTGGTGTGGGGGTGTGTTTGTGTGGGCTTGTGACTACCAAGCCTAGGGGGTGTGTTAAATTATATATTGAGTTATATAATTGTTAGGCTTGGTAGGTTACAGAATTTAATGTAGAGGGTACAATCCCCTCCTTGTATGCCTCTCTCTTTCTATTCCAATTCCCTTTTCTCTCCTCAACTTTTCTCCTTCCTAAACCTCACGCCACTCCATGGCTCCTCCTAGCTAAACCTCATGCCTTTCCTAGCTTCCTAGCTAAGCTAGCCTTTTAACAGTAGCTTAAAGCCCGACCGGCAGGTTGCAACTCTCTTTTTCTCAAGATGCTGCATCTTGAGGACCTGTAACCGACTCCACCCGCAGCAGCGGTTGACGAGACTCAAGCACCTCAACTTAGTGCCTCGACAAACTTGGCAGGTTTGCGTCCATGCCAAGTATCGAGGCGAGGAAGCAAAGACTGCGCGAAGGGTAATTATTTGTACAAATTTCGACTTTCGGGCGGTTTAGTGCGAGTGTACTAATGTGTGTTTGATTGCACACGGGCATAACTGACGCCCAATAGTTGGAGTTTCGTTTTCTTCCAACTCGCCCGAACAAAAAAAAAAGAGGTTGGCTGTTTGCGCAAAAACGCAGGCACGCAAACCCCTTCGCAACATGGCAAAGAGTCAAGTGTGAGTCCCCTGCCACCTGACGGGGCTCAAATCTGACACCTCTGCCAGGTTGCATAGCCCTCGGGGACTCTCGCGCAAGCAGGAGCTGGACGAAGATAAAGTTTCGCAAAACGATTTCGTTTATTTTTTTCCTCGTCAACTAATCATAATTTGCCGCCCCACCTACCTCAACAGTACCAATATGCAACCTGCCGGTCGGGCTTTAAAGCCGGTGACCCAAAACGTGCAAGATTAATAATCATGATAGGGCAAAAAGTTGGGCACGGCATCAAGCAGGGGCGTGGAGCAGTGGTGTGAGGTGGCAAGTGTGGTTCGCCAAGGAGCGAACATTGCAACACCCTATGTGAAAACCAACCCGTTGCACGAAGTGCAAACACCAATCAGCACGCGTGAAAAAACGTGCTATAAAAACCGGTGCCCAAAGAAAAAGGACGAAGGGGGAAAGCTGAGGGCGGGAAGGGACAGGAGGGGCGCGCAAGGTGCAGGGGGGGGGGGGGGGGGGGGGGGGGGGGGGGGAGGATAAACACCAAAAACAACGAGCACGACAAACTACAAACTGCTGGGTCAAGCAGGGTAGCTGCCGGTGTTAAATTATATTTTGTTATATAATTGATAGTTGTTACTGAACCTTACTGTAGAGGGTACAATCCCCTCCTTGTATGCCTCTCTCTTCCTAGTCCCACCCCTCTTTTCTCTTGACACTTTCCTACTCTCCTAGCTAAACCCCGCCGCCACTTCCATGGCGCCGTATCCTACCTCCTCCTAGCTTGCTTTCCTAAGTTAACATGGTTTCAGAGCGGTTCGCTCCTAGCGGGCCTGCTCCTCACGCTTCCGCTGCGAACTCCTACTCTCTCTCTCTCTCTCGCACTGCCATGGCGGTTGCATCGTGCTGCTGTGGTGGCGTCATCTTGCCGCCGGCCGTGTCGTGCTGCCACGGCCGTCTCGACGCGCTGCCATGGCGTCGCGCTGTCGTGGCGACAGCGTCAAGCCGTGGCAGCGTCGTCGCCGTCAGGCCGTGGCGGCATGACGGCGCCGTCTTGCTGCCGTGGCGGCGTCGTCGGGCGACAGCCGGCCACGCAACGCCAGTGGTGCCGCCGGAGGACCTGCCGCCCGCTCGTCAGCCACGGACGTGATTCTGGCCTACACCCCCCCCCCCCCCCCCCCCCCCTCCTTCACCTGCGTCCCCTTTTCCTTGCCACAGCCAACGACTGCCTCATGAGGGCCCTCGCCACCGCCGAGGAGACTGGCCATGCCGCCGAGAGGCCGGGGGCCACTGCAGTAGCCTCTGACGTTCAAGTCGCCGCCGCTGTTGCCGCTGGCCTGTTGCCGCCGCACGCCTCCGCCGCCCCCGCTGTCGTCACTGTCGCCGCTGCCGCCATTGCCATCCCACGGGCCGTGGGAGCTGTCCACTTCCGGAGTCGTCGCGGCTCCTGCTGGGAATGGGGTGCTAGGTTAGGGGGTGTAGGGTGTGTGTGGGCTTGACACTACCAAGCCTAGGGGGTGTGTTAAATAATATTTTGTTATATAATTGATAGGCTTGGTAGTTGTTACTGAACCTTACTATAGAGGGTACAATCCCCTCCTTGTATGCCTCTCTCTTCCTAGTCCCACCCCTCTTTTCTCTCGACACTTTCCTACTCTCCTAGCTAAACCCCGCCGCCACTTCCATGGCGCCGTATCCTACCTCCTCCTAGCTTGCTTTCCTAAGTTAACAGCCGGTGGGTATCTTGGAAACGCAAAATGGATTTGGTGAGCAACGAAAAAGGCTGTGAGGGAGAGAACAATACCCCCAGCCGCCACGCCACTCTGCCCGCAGCAGCACACAGCATATGAACTAGGCATTGGGAAGCTCATGTAAGAAACGAGGGGCATACAAAGAGCGTAAATGGCTGCGAAGGCGCAGGAGACAGGATAGTCGCGGCCCTTCATAACGCAGGAAGGCAGCATGTCGCAAAGACTAGCGCTGATAGCGGAAACAGTCCCGAAGCGCACACGGCCCGTAAACGGCAGAAACCGCAAGAACACAGATGAGCGTCTAGACCGGGAGAGCACTTGCAAGCTCGCGAGGGAGACAGAAATGAGATCCAGGCTGGAAAGATAGGAGGGGAAACAAGAGGTGACTAAATCGTCTGAGGGTTGTGGAGCTGTCATATAATGGAAATATCAAATGTATTGTTGGTATTGAAATAAGAATACCATTTCAAGTGTACCATTGCTATAACTTATTTTTTCAAACGCATTGTTTGTGACTCCAACAATTTTCAATCAACTTCATAGTATTGATATTACCATTGTCTCAATCGTCTTATTTGGGTACGTCTAATATTTTTCTTCCTTTTGCTCAGCTTGTGAAATTATGGTGTCATTTTCCACCAACCTGAGGTCATGCTATATCTGTGTCAATTGACAGAACAATGCTACCAACTATTGTTCTATTTGTTTTAGTCATGCTTATTTTGTTTTACCATTCATTTTGTTGAAGATTATTCCTCGTAAATTGAAGGGCAAAAATATAGGCACTCAGTAATAGCAACCTCACTAGTACGTTTGTTATTAAAGCAAGGTTGAAGAAACCAATTTGACGATTTCTAACTTTAATGCATTTTGAGACAAATTTAGATTATATGAAGCGTTTTTCCTTCTAACATGTTACACTTTGATGCTCTGAAAGCTGCATGACACATCAGCAATGGTGCTGTTCTGTGATGCGTTAGCATTCTGTGGCTGAGGAGAACGAATGCTAGGGTTTGCAACTGCCCCTTCGTTCTTGCTCACCTAATCTGCTAGTCCCTAAGCCCACATTCGCGCTGACGCTAAGCGTGCTGGCGCCATGCGCGCTGATGCCTTGCACGCTGGCGCCTAGTGTGCTGGCGCCTAGCGCACTGGCTCCTAGCGTGCTGATGCCTTGCGCGCTGGCGCCTAGCTCGCTGGCGCTTAGCGTGCTGGCACCTAGCGCACTGGCTCCTAGCGCGCTGGCTCCTAGCGTGCTGGCACCTAGCACGCTGGCGCCAAGCGTGCTATCACCTAGGGCGCTGGCGCCTAGCGTGCTGGCTGCTAGGTGCCCTGGCGCCTAGCGCGCTGGAGCCTAGTGCGCTGGCGCCTAGCGCGCTGGAGCCTAGTGCGCTGGCGCGTAGCACGCTGACGCCTAACGTGCTGGCTGCTAGGCGCGTTGGAGCCTAGTGCGCTGGCGCCTAGGGCGCTGACGCCTAGGGCGCTGGCTCCTAGCGCGCTTGCGCCTAGCGCTCGGGCGCCTAGCGCGCTGGTGCTTTGCGTGCTGGCTCCCATCTTCCCTACTGTTTCCTCCTTTTCTCCTTCCTTGCCTTCTTTCCCTCTCTCTGTTTCCTCCTTCTCTCCCTCCTTGCCCTCCTTCCCTCCCTCTGATTCCTCCTTTTCTACCTCCTTGCCCTCCTTCCCTCCCTCCATTTCCTCCCTTTCTCCCTCCTTGACCTCCTTTTCTCCCTCCGTTTCCTCCTTCTCTCCCTCCTTTCCCTCCTTCCCTCCCTCTGATTCCTCCTTTTCTACCTCCTTGCCCTCCTTCCCTCCCTCCATTTCCTCCTTTTCTCCCTCCTTGACCTCCTTTTCTCCCTCTGTTTCCTCCTCTCCCTCTGTTTCCTACTTTTCTCCCTCCTTGCCCTCCTTTTCTCCCTCTGTTTCCTCCTTTTCTCCCTCGATTTCCTCCTTTTCCCCCTCCTTGCCTTCCTTCCCTCCCTCGGTTCCCTCCTTTTCTTTCTCTCTCTCTCTCTCTCTCTCTGTCTCTTTCTCTCTCTATCTCTCTCTCTCTCTCTCTCTCTCTCTCTTCTCTCTCTCTCTCTCTCTCTCTCTCTCTCTCCTCTCTCTCTCTCTCTCTCTCTCTCTCTCTCTCTCTCTCTCTCTCTCTCTCTCCTCTCTCTCTCTCTCGCTCTCTCTCTCTCTCTCTCTCTCTCTCTCTCTCTCTCTCTCTCTCTCTCTCTCTCCTCTCTCTCTCTCTCTCTCTCTCTCTCTCTCTCTCTCTGTTTCACTCTCTCTTTTGCTGCACCCTTCCCTTACCACCGTTTTCCCCGTTCTCTCTTATCCATCCACTCCTTTTCTTTCATTTTCATTCATTTCTTTCTTCTCTCTCTCTCCTAGTTGGCGTTCTGCTTCAATTGTTGCTAGGCCTTACTTGTGCGAACTAGTTCTCTACATTGCACTGACCATTTTTCCCAGTTCATGCTCGACTTTTTTTTTTTTTCTACAGCCTTTTAATTACTTGTTTTCCCCCTTTTGTTTCATTAGTTTCTGTGTTCTGGCTGGAGGGTCCACCCTTATGAGTGTTGTTGAATTTGCTCCGTGCCTCGCTGGTTTTTTTTTTACTGCATACTATTCCCCTTAATTTCGACTTCTAATTTTTGCTTGGTGCATGCAGCGTCATTCATGTCTCTAGTGCATGGGTACTTGTGGCAATGAGTTTCGTGGATGTCAAAAACTGGATTGCTCTTATCATTTCAAGAAGGATCGCTTGACTCTCTCCTTGAGTGCAGTCATTTGACCCGGGAGCGATAAGTGCAAATCAGATTTTGGTATTCACGTAGTTTATTACCTTGAAGCTATATATCTTTTAGGCACTAAGCTTGAAAATCCCCCCCTAAACTAGGCAAATCTAGGATTTTGACTTCCCCCACTTAGTTGGGGAAGCGATTGCCTATTTTTGTCATCGACAAAAATACGCCACGAGAAATTATGGTAACACCTATTTTTGTTTTCTTGATGCAAAGTGTAGTGTAATTTTCATATTACACTACATCTTTCCAACAACCATTGAAAATAGTTATGCAACAATCAATCTATGTAGACAATGTGTCAGCTTAAATGAATCTGTAGTTTTCCCCCACTTTTGAATATATTTCATCATTTTTTACAAAACTTAAAAAAAAAATCGTCCGATCGATCACAATAGGTTGCTCTGCAACCCAAAAAAACACCACGGGACGGCCGCCCAAAGCGCGATGCAAAAATCACTAAGCGCCACCAGCCATAGGCACGAACCATACATGCGAGGGCACTGCATACCACCACGCGCGATGGGGGCCTGCACGGATTAACGCGCAGTGCCTTGTACCCCTCACATGTTCCCAAGGTGAGGCAGGGAGATGGGCAAGGGGGAGCAGGGAGACGTGTCAAGGCGAGGCAGGGAGATGAGCAAGGGGGGAGCAGGGGGAAGTGTCAAGGTGAGGCAGGGAGATAAGCAAGGGGGGAGCTGAGAGGAGTGTCAAGGTGGGGCAGGGAGGTGAGCAAGGGGGGAGCTGAGAGGACTGTCAAGGTGGGGCAGGAAGGAGAGCAAGGGGGGAGCCGTGGGGAGTGTCAAGCGGAGGCTGAGAGGTGAGCAAGAAGGGAGCATAGACGAGTGTCAAGGTGATGCAGGAGGGGGGAACAGGGGGGAAGGAGAGAGGAGTGTCAAGGTGAGGCAGGGAGGCGGGCAAGTGGGGAGCTAAGAGGAGTGTCAAAATGATTGCTGGAGGGGGGAGCAGGGGGGAAGCAGAGAGGAGTGTCAAGGTGAGGCAGGAGTGGGGAGCGGGGGGTAAGCAGGGAGGATTGTCAAGGTGAGGCAGGAGTGGGGAGCGGGGGGGAAGCAGGGACGAGTGTCAAGGTGAGGCAGGAGTGGGGAGCGGGGGGGAAGCAGAGAGGAGTGTCAAGATGAGGCAGGAGGGGGAGCAACGGGGAAGCAGAGAGGAGGTTGGGCAGGGAGGTGAGCAAGGGGGGAGCATAGACAAGTGTCAAGGTGATGCAGGAGGGAGGAACAGGGGGGAAGCAGAGAGCACGTTGTTAAATTATACATTTTATATATATAATTGTAGGCTTGGTTGGTGTTACTGGATCCTACTGTAGAGGGTACAACATTCTTCTTGTATCCCTCTCTCTTCTAGTCGAACTCTCTACTCTCTCATCAATTTCTCTTTCCTAGCACCCACCCTCCCCTGCACCACCCCTCATTCCATTCGGGACCCTTAGAAAATCGCCCTGTAAAATCCAACCTCGTGAGAAAATTGCCCTGATTCTTCATGGTCCGTGCTAAAAAAGGCCTGATAGGTAATAGCCCATCTTTGCTTGGCAGTGGGCGACTTCGGGGTGGGATGGGAAACGTACCCCCTCACCAGCATCTATGCTGCAGATGAATCACGCAAGTGAAGGTGCTATATTTAGGCCAAGGGGCTGGGAAGAAAGGGGTTTGGTGGGAGGGATGGTCCGAGTTTTTGAGTGGCGTAAACAATTGTTCCTAGCAGCTCATTTTAAAACCAGCCGCTAACCTAAGGGAAAATGGGAACAGCAGAGTGGGGCAAATGGTGAAAGGGAAGAACAGGAAGTTTGACAGATTCCTACACCCCCTGGAGGCTATCCAGATGTCCGGGCCCACTCAAAACCGCCCCGAACTCCTACGGATCAGTTGATAAACCCCCCCAATTCTAGCAGGGCTGGATTGAAAAAAGTCCTGGAAAACACAGAGTCGGCATTAAAAATATCTTGTATTTTCAGTCAAGTCAGGGTAATTACCTTGTTAACGTATGCCCTGGTTATGACACCCCGCTGAAACAAAGTGTCCAGTCACAACACGTGGGGACAACCGATCGCGGTTCCTTGGGGCATTCTGGCAGGAGGAGATGCAACCCCATATTACTCAATTCAAACAAGGTAGAAACACTAGTCTAAACAATCAGACAAATTATATAACCTTGTCTAAGCCAATCAGACTAAAACAAATCTTGTCGAGCAATTAGACGAAGTCAAAAAATACAGTATGAAAATCAGACGTTCATGTCAAATTATGTACTTATAATTATTTTTTTAGGGTGTGATACCTTGCTGAATCCTATTTTAGAGGGTAAAACTCCCTCCTTGTACCTCTCTCTCTTCTAATCTCACTCTCTTCTCTCTTGACATTTTCTCCTAGTCTAAAACCTCTCACTACTTTCCTATGCCTAGCTCCTAACCCAGCCTCTCAACCGTTCAGACAGTTTTTGTCTGTAAAAGAGGAACATGAACAGATTGTTAGAATGAGAGAATGACTGGCAACTCGTGAGAACAAGGGAGATATAGGATTGGATTTGTACCCCCTAAGAGCACAAACCTATCTAGCCTATAACTTCTACATACAAACATATGGACAAGTTGACACACCCCTAGGCTAGATAAGAGGCAGTGCTGAGCAAGAAACGTGCAACTCGGGGTGGCACTACTAGTCCAACCTCTGAGGCAGGGGTCCGAAGACCAGTCAGCAAGAGTACAAACAAGAACAGAGCAAACCAGGGCGGCACTACTAGTCCGGCCACTGGAAGCTAAGCCACAAGGCCAGTCAGAAAGGTATATATAATGAGGAGTACACAATCAAGGTCCTAGCAAGTAAGAAGCTACAAAAAACTAGACCAAGCTGCAAACAGTGCCGCTGATGATCTTTAAGCGCAAGCGCCTTAGTAAAGGTATCAGTTGTGTTGGCACCGGAGGCCAAGTGTACTACGTGGGCCTGGCGATGCTGCTGTAGCTCGCGCAGGAGGCAGTACCGCAGCTGGATGTGCTTCGCTCTGCCCTCAAGTCGAGGCTTCTGACAAAGGAGGATCATGGTCTTGTTGTCAGCATACAAAACCAGGGCAAAGCTAGGCTGCTCACGTGATTCTGAGAGCAAGATGGTCAGCCAGTGGAGCTCCTGTGCCGCCATGGCACCGACGTAGATCTCAGCCTCACAGCTAGACTGAGCATCAAACGAGGAGCGAGTGGACTTCCACAAGATGGCACCCGAACCAAGGCTAAAGCAGTAGCCCTGGGAGGATCTGAGGGTCTCAGCGTCGCCTGCCCAAGAAGAGTTTGTGTGCCCAGTAAGGACCACTGGTCTCCGTCCTCCCAGCACTAGCCCCATGCCCGATGTACTTGCTAGATAACGCAGAACCCTCTTAGCGGCCGACCAGTGCTGTAGTCGTTGTCTACCAGCGGCCACAAAGCGAGCCAGGATGCTGAGAGGGTATGCCAGATCTGGACGAGTGCAAGTCATGAGGTACATAAGGCAACCCACCAACTCTGCGTAAGGGCCATTGGGCTCTACAGGCTCCTCAAGAACTGCAGCGGATAGCCGGTGGTCTACTGGCAGAGGTGTAGGCTGTGCGGAGGAGAACTGAAGACCAAACCTCTGAAGAACCTAGCACACCAAGTGTGACTGTGTGAGAGTGATGGTTCGCGCTGCTCTGTCCTTGGAGATCCGTAGGTTAAGGTAGCGGTGTAGCTCTCCTAGGTCACTGCAGGTGTGTCTCCTCAGCAGCTCGGCCTTCACGGAGGGCAGTGCGTCTCTGTCTGCAGTAGCGAAGACCAGGTTGTCTACGTAGACCAGGATGTAGAGTGGATTCTGGCCAGCACGAACGAAGAGCGAAGGGTCTGCAGAGGATGGAAGGAACTGCAGGTCCGCTAGCATAGCATGCATCGTGTCGTGCCACTCACGGGGCGCCTGTCACAGGCCGTAGACCGGGCACCGGAGGAGCCACTGGGTCCCAGGAGGGAAGGCACTGATGAAGCTCTGTGTGTCACAGGATCGAATGTGTCGAGGAAAGGTTTGATCAATGTTGCACTATCAACCAGTACAAGGTGCTTTTATACTTCCAGAGTACATCAGGTAACCAGGTTTATCCTATCCGAAGGGAATGGACCCTTCTAGAAATAGAATCACCCTGCGTATAGCCACACGAGGCTATTGGCTATAAGGGATTACGGCAGGATTACGCTAGATATAGCGCGCCAGTACATCCCGAGCCTGGTCGATGATATAGTTATAATAACATGATAAACCAAATGATAAGGGAAAAGGAGGAATAGGAAACCAAATGAGGAGATAAAGACCAAAGGAATCAGGATAAAAAGAAGAATGAAATAGAAAGGAAATATGGAAAGGGGAAATTGGTGTAACGGGGTCGTACTCTCACACTTCCCCCCCTCAAAGCTGGGTGGTAGAAGTAACACCCTGCTTGACAAGGTAGTCGCGAAGAGGACGACGGTCGTTACCCATGTCGAATTCAGTGACGTAGCCTCAGAAGTATCATAACCCTTCCAGCAAGGAAGAAGCTCCAGAGTGCCATTCTGACGATGACCGAGCACGTAGTTGTCCCATGGCGTGGACGAACACGGGCGGCGACGGTGGTTGGCATTCGGTGTAGAGCGTGCTTGGTCTTCATAGGGTTTAAGAAGCTGGTATGGAAGGCGTTATGGATCTTCCAAGTGGCTGGTAGGCGGAAGCGGAAGGTAACAGGAGTGACCTGTGCTTCAACGAGGATAGGCCCGCAGAAGCGAGGTCACAGTTTGGATGGGAGATGGCCGATATCAAGATTGTGCATGTCGAGCAGTACTCGGTCTAACATGGTGATGGTGTGGTCTGTGCGGTGACGATCGGCCTGGCGTTTTGGTTGTTGCTGAATGCCGAGAAGGCGCTTGTGGGTCCGATCCCTAAGTTTGTGCATGGTCCTGATGAAATCATGAGCGGGTTGTGGCAAGTACTGTCTGTTGCTACGGAAAGAGCGAGCTCCGTCCACAGTAAGGAAGGATGGTGTGTATCGCCGTCAGTGATATATGGGCAGGTGCAAGTTGGAGTTGGAGATGTGAATGGTTGGAACAGTGTGCTGTAATGTGCATATGAATGGCTATGTTGTCCGATGTGTGCATGCTGTTACCCGCATCTGGTCCACATGTGAAGATCACCAAGTGTTGGTGGTGTGGCAGTCATGTCATAGTACTGCTTAAGTAGAAGTGTTGTATCTGACACATACAGCTTCTGTCGAATGCTGGTGCATGACGTAGTGTTGTCGCAAGTTGTACACTCTCAGCATCGGAGTGTTGCGGGATTGGAGAGCAGAATCACTAGTAGTAACCCTGTCCACCACGCGGTCTGCTAGTCACACTGCCTTGAGTACAACACCGCATGCGAAGTGCTGCTCAATGTATCCCTTTTGTTCAGAACCATGCGAGGGGTTGGTACCACGAACGCAGAGCTGGTAACTTCCAGAATCGGCGCCAAGTAGTTTCCCTCGGTGGTTGCTCAAGCAAGGAATCTCAGTTGCGTAGATATCTCTCGGTGATGGGTTAGGATACTTGGGAATATTAGGGGTATTCCCAAATAATCTTCTCTCATTTCCAAATGAGCAGTACTGACAGCCAATCCAGTATGACCTTATGCACTTCCAGTTTAGCACGGAGGCCATCGGTAGGCATCGGTGTCTGGGTGCACATTTTGGGATAGGTCTTCTGGTGCCATCATGTGTTGACTCATTCTGTCACTGTTCTTGAAGTAGCATTGATGTCGAAGACGTCTCAGGTACTCAGCATCGGTGTTGAAGTCTGCTCCATTTTGGCAAATAGGGGTGTTCTTGGAGATACGCAGAGTCCACTATCCGGAGTGGCGTCGGTGCTCCATTTTATGCCTATCTGTTTCCGTGGAGTTGGTGCTGCTGATGGATTGGTTGTGACGCAGGTTTTATGACTTTAAGGAAAGCCATAGGCCATGAGGACTTGTATACCGGTAGAGAACCGTAGTCCTCCCATCCTCATAAGAGCAAATATCTTCTGCTCTTGAGGGTATGTGGCATTGCCATGATGTTCCCTCGCATAGTGGTATCTCCTTCCCACTAGCTGGAAATCATAGTATTGTGCCTGGCCGGGTCTTTACGATCATACTGGAATATAATCCAGTGTTGTCTCCATTGAGTGGAGAATCATCCATCAGGATTTTGGATATGACGGTTGTGTCGAGTCTTCTGCTGCGGCGGCGGCGGCGGTTGCGACGATGGCGACGGCGGCAGCTGCTGTAGAGAATTCTCTCAACTCGTACCGGTTGAAGGAGAATCCATCAACTCCCTCTTCCCAGTAGAGTGTTCCTGATGGGTGTAACAGGCATAACTACTAGGAAAACGTGCACATTAGTACACATGTGTTGCTCCATTGCTGCCGGTGATTGTTTCATTTGAGGGTATGAAGAGAAATTTGCTTCTCCCCTCAATGTATCCACGGGTAGCAATTCCTGGTATGCTCATCCGTGCCTCCGATGTGCGGTCGGTAGAGCGCGTGATCGTGTTGTAGTAGTCCGCATCTCTCTCATTTGTTGACACCTCGTGTTGCTTGGCGTTCTCCTGCATCGTCGAATTTA